CAAGATTTCGCTAAACGATCTATTTCTGTCCGAATTTTCTGGCCTGACACTTCGAATGTCAAAATAAAAATGTTGCCTGATATATGGCCGAATTAACGCGAACCATTTTATACATTAATAATTTAGAATTAATGCAACTGAAAATATTGTTACTCGTTTTCTGCATTAAACGTACAATTTTATATACATTGTTTTTCGGCACTAAAAATAATTTTGAATCTGCTACAAGGGACAATCAAATATTGTTTCTTATTGCTATCAGTCGAGAGATGCATTATATTATTAAGGTGCGTTTACACGAGCCAATTGATCAAGTCAGTTGAATTTATTTCGTATTGTGGTGCTGATTGAGAAACATCCACAGATGCCTGAGCAATCCCGTTATTTATATTAGTTTAGATTAAAAAAGAGTCTTTATTTTTTGTTTAGAGGCTATCGGTTCTTACATTATCAGTTTTGTATTCATATTCTTAAGGTCTAATTTGTGGCCTATGTTCCATGAATGAAAAATTTTAGATTTGCGAAACTCTCCTTTGTTAAATTATTCTTATGTTCTTTAATTCTAATATTGTTATATTCTTAGTTCCACTGTAACTATAACTTCTAAATCAATCTGAATTTTCCTTTCACCAATCATTATTATATAAAAAAACCTCCAAGATCTTCATAAGCTAAATTATTCCTATTATCGAGTTTTGCAATATTAATAAAATAATATAAAACCAAGTTATATCAGAGGATACTAAAAATAGTTATGAAAACTGATAATTTAAATTTACACATAGACATAAAAAAATAAGCCGTCGACGAGTTGCCGTTTTATCAGCTTTGTTTTGAATTTGATTCAAATAATCGGTTAGAGCTTGCCGTTAGCCAGGGGCGTAGATAGGTGTATGCTATGGGGGTGGTACTATGATTAAGTCGCAAAAAAAATCACCGTCGGAATTTTTTTGTCGAATTAAAACGACGGCGATTTTTTTGTCTTCAAAAAGATATAAAAACATAACACAAAAATTAAAATATAGATTTGTAAATAACATAAACAAAAATGAAACAACGACGTTTATTAGTTAATTTTCTATAAACTATAAATAAAAAAATCTAAACTATCAAAAAAAACTCTAAGAACTATAAATAAAACTACAAAACAAAATCAAGTTTTCTAGTACGCTGTTTGGAAAACCTATCAATAACAGCATCAACATTTATTTCAATATCTTTATGGATATTGATTAGAGTTAACCCCACTAATCTGTCCTGGCCAATAAGAACACTTTGTGTGCTTTTAATTAGGTCGAACATATTATAAACGATAAATCAACATAATTAAAAGCATACAAAGTGTTCTTATATGTCGGATTTTAATTAAAAAAAATCCTTTCATAGTCAATGACTATTTCAATTCTCGTATCTCGTCAAGCGTCAGGGGGGGGTACTGTCCCCCAGTACCCCCCCCCTTATCTACGCCCTTGCCGTTAGCGTAGGATTATCGGTAATTTTGATTTGATTATGAGGTTCTTATTAACGGATTTTTAAATTTGAGAAAAATCTCGAATCTGACGAACAACATTTCGCTTTGGCTCAATTATCTCATTTGGAAAAAAATATCAAATAATTGATGATAATGGTTCTGGAAAAAAATTGTGTATGCACTATGTGCGCATATTTGAAGGACATGTTTGAAAAAGTGCAGTTTGAAATGTTGAAAAAGTAATAAATTAAAAATTAATAAATAATTTGGTTCACTTCCACAAAATTTGTATTAAAATGACCGTCTGTCCGTTCCGGTACTCGGGTACCTCTATCCACGTGCCGAGTTTGGTTCCGATCCAACTATATTTAACACAAAAATCCTGATAATTTCGTCCATTTAGAGGCATCGGTTCGAAACGTCGGGGCGTCATCCTGTAGCCCGTCCCCAATTATGCCGAAATCGACCCACATTTTTCTTCACTATCAAATCGTTAGTCCCACCCTGATGAAGCTATACACAGATCCATTTTATCACATACTAAACCAATGAATACAGAACAACAAACAAAAAATGTAATATACCAAATACCCCATGTGAATGCGATAAATTTTACATTGGTGAAACATCTAGACCCTTAAATGTTAGAATTAAAGAACATAAAGATTATTTAAGAAAGGGAGATTTTCACAAATCTAAGATTTGTCAGCATTCATGGGACACAGGGCACAGACAGTGGTGAAGCTATGGGGGGTGTTGAGGGGGGGATGCTCCCCCCAATGTATAATTGAATTGAGAAATTAGTCATGACAACGCGACGTCTAAATCCCAAATTAAAAATATTAAAGATGGTACGATTTTATTTTAATTTTAGAGCTGTCATAACAATAATTATTATTTGTGCATGTTATAATGTTCAATAATCTTAAATTTAAGCTTTAAATTAATAAAACAATTTTTTTTAACCTAGGGATTTTATTCCTATCACGATACATTATTACATGTTATTATGGCCTCTAAAAAAAAGTAGGAAGTTGGGAAAATTACTTGTCTTACTTGTTTAATATGTAAAATGTGAACGTGTGTGTCGATTGACTTTTATTGTATTTGTCTGATGATACTCGTATGAGCGAAACACGTGTGTGTGGATTGACTTTTATTGTATTTGTCTGATGATGCTCGTATGAGCGAAACACGTGTCACTATTTAACCAACGGTTTAACTTAATATATGTATACTTTGAGATCGAAACTTTGAGTCTTTTTTATACTTCTTTTTAATAATAACCAAGGTTAGAAACGGAATACCTACAATCTAAAAAGTAGATCATCAACGTACGCTTGGTATAAACCTTTTTGAATTATATGGATATCTGTTTTTGTTACTTTACTATATCGCATTTTGAAATAGTTTTCTTATAAATCATTTAAATAGAGTGGAAGTTTTACAAAAATTCTTTATCAAGTAAAAGGAAGATCTACGCGTTAAGTTGACAAGATAATATAATATATGGCAAAAACCAGTTTGCAAGAGTATTTTTATAAAGAAATTCGAAATAAATGGTTGTTTTGGAATAATTTAAATTAAACGAGATAATTTTCAAAAATACTAAATTCATTGAAAATATCTAGAGAGTATACTATTATCATCGGATTTGCTAAGTTGTGCGTGACTGTTACGATTGATTGTGGTTTAATTTGTTTTGAGAGATTGTTTTCGTAAATACGAATTTTTTGTATCGGACCACGTCAATTCCGAAGGAATTGATAAATTTTGGGCTCTTTCGAAAAGGTTATATGGATTTTTAATCCAGAATGTCGACAACAAGAACTAAATTATGATATTAACGGACTTATTTGCTTTTATTCTCTTTTTAATTGAATAAATAAAATATCTTATTGAATAATTAAAAAATATTGTAAAATTGTATTTATTTATATTCACATACCGGGTGTTGCATCGTCGGACGGGACATAGGAAATCCCATGTAAATTTTAATGGGGTCAATTATTGGCTTCCCTAATTATTTTAGAGAATAATTCTGTTTAGGTTCATTGAAGAGCACTAAAACCCACATTCAAAAGAATAACTTTAGATACTGTTGATTAGCTCGTTTACGAGTTATCGCCGATTTCTTTTTAAATATTTCTCCTTTCATATGGCCCTGTATTTACTTATGAGCACCAGTCAAGGTAAAAGATAACTGTCAAATGAAGTTGTCATTTCGAGATATTCACAAAATATCGATTTTGGGCGCCATCTTGGCAAGATGGCGGCGCCGGCGGCAAGTCTGGACATGTGCATTTTATGGATTTTAGTTAGGGACCCCAAAACCTATAAATCTGCAAAGTTGCAAAACTTTTCCAAGCAAAAATCCCCAATGACTGAACTAGAAACATCCTGCATCAAATACGAAAATATTCAAAATAGCGAAAAGATATACATATAGACCCGGCCGGTATATATCCATTTGCCAATAATTTCCAACCGTTATGGACCGTTTTTCCTCGGGAACAGAAACGAAACCCGATATGACAATAAATATAAATTTTTGCCTCGGTCAGCGGCAGCGAACGCGTTCGTTCCAACGAACGGATATCGAATTCCATCAATAAAAGTCGATTTATTATCGACGAACGAAAGTCGGGTCGGAACGCGGTACTACAGCTCGATCGCTTAACATAAATTTCGGAAAAGAGAAAAAATAGACCTGTCAAAATAACAATGCCTTTTGTTCTATGACAATTAACAGCTCAGACTTTATTAATATGCTATAAAATTAAGATTTTTATTGACCTGACTTATGTGCTTCTATAATGCCTTAGTCCAGAATATAATCTGTAAACTGTTTTATATTTACTAAAGAAACCCTCCACTATGACTAAGGTAGTACCATACAATCGAAAAAAAAACGGCGAGGGCGATGTCTATGAAATGAAGATCGCTGTCATTTTATATATGTAAAATTACATCATCGATCGTCATTTCCAAGCCAACTGGACGCCGTTTTTTTCGATCATACGGTATGAGAGTATAAGAACCTAAAAACACGAAGAAGGCACAACGTTGG